TAGTTTATAACATTAGCATGATTAGCCATCTCAAGGTGATAACATACATCCTAAAAAGTCAATTTTAGCAGTGAAAATGTTGAAGCATTTCAAGATTTATTTCATTACAGCATAATAATCACACACAATAATAAAACTTTTAATAAATACATAAATATGATTGAATGATACTACAATACACTTTAGAAAGGATGCTGTAGAGGGGTACCCAATGAAAGCAATGCTTGTAGATTTGGGCCCCGTTTGTAACATTACTTATTAAATTACAAACACACACACACAAAACCACACAAAGACAGACAAAACAAGTAAACATGTAGTTGCAAGTTTGTGTAGCCTGAAACCAGTATGGTATGTTAAATTAAGATATCAGTATTAATTGCAAAAACGCAGAAATGTGTGTATGTGCGAATTACGAATATATATTTAACGAAGAGATCTTGTATATTCTTTTTAAAAGCTGACAGAGTATTTAAATTTCTAAGTGAATCTGATAATGAATTCCATAACTTAGGTCCCTCATATTTAACAGTTCTTTGGGCAAGGATAGTACAGGTTTGTAGGGGGTGAAAATGAAAGGCTAGATGAGTGAAATAAGTGTGTAGGTCAAGATTACGAATGAACATTGCCTGAACAAGAGAAGGTAAGGTATTTGTAGTAAACTGGTACATGAGAGACCAAAGTTAGTGGTAATATATATCCTTAATGTTAAGAGTCCTACACTGAGCAAATAGAGGGTCTGCATGAGCAAATTATGGGAAGAGCCCTTTTCTGTAGAAGTAATAGTCTGTTAAGACTATTTGATGAGGATTGTCCCCAGATAAGTGTACTATAATTCAGGTATGATAAAATCAATGTATACAAATGACCCCAATGTTTGTGGGTATTATGTTACACAAGTAATTAATATGATCCTTCCAAGTTAAACCAGCATCTATATAAACTCCAAGAAATTTAAGACAGCTTTCTAAAATTGAAGTATCATTAATTATAATATCCCCAGCAAATTCATGGGCAGAGTTGTTAAACAGCATATAATAAGTCTTAGTGATATTTAGTGATAATTTGTTAGCCTTAAACCAATTAGCAATAGATTTCAGCTCTAAATTAACATTTTCAATAAGTGTATTTAAGTCATTTTGTGAGAGAAACAGGTTTGAGTCATCCGCAAATAAAATAAATGAAAAGACATCTGACGATTTAACAAAATCATTAATATAAATTAAAAACAGCAAGGGACCAAGGATTGAGCCTTGTGGAACTCCACAGCTTAATCTTTGTATACATGTATCTGAATTTGACTGTCCAATAGTTAAAAATACTGTCTTCGGTCCAAGAGATAACTTCTAAACCACTACTCCTCGCACGCCATAATAATTCAATTTATACAATAGAATGTCATGATCAATTGTATCAAATGCTTTAGAAAGGTCAAGAAATATCCCCAGAGTGTGTTTGGAATCATCAATAGCACAAGAAACCTTGTCCAGAAAGTCAAAGATTGCATGAGTAGTAGTATGATTGGTACGGAAACCAAATGGACAGTCAGTTACCAGACTAAATTTATTTAAAAACTTAAGAATACGAATATATACGCATTTTTTGAATATTTTAGAAAAATAGGATAATATTGAAATGGGTCGGTATTGTTGATGCTATTAGGATCACTATTTTTATATACAGGAATTAATTTTGCAATCTTTAATTGTTTAGGAACGATACTACATGAAGTTGTGAAAGAAAGATTAATGATACTGGCCAAGGGTTTACCAATTGCTGAGGAGGAATATTTGATTAACGATGCACTAACTAGGTCATGCCCAACACTTTTTTGTCGTTTAGTTTTCTTATTATGTTAAGAACCTCCAGCTCATCAAGTGGTTTAAAGAAAAANATGCAGTGGGATGAGCCAAATACTGCCGGTATAGTCTATTTTTTCTATTAATGGACTTCAGCAGCGAGTGAATTAACCAGGGTGCATTTGGTTTGGATCTAGATCTATTGCTTGTAATTGTGAGAAACAAGTGGGATAGTATCATCTAATTCATTGTTGAATTTATCCATAAATTCATTAAATGCCAAGTCTGGATTGTCGCTTACAAAAACACTTGTCCAGTCGGTAGACAGAAGCTCATCATGGAACCTACATGTATGGAAATTATCGAGAGTAAAATTCCGAGTTGCAGTACAAGTATGTTGAACATTAGAAAAAGTGTTGAATATACCACATAGCGTTAGTGTAAATACAGGTAGGTGATCAGATATATCACTTATTATTATACCTGATTTTGCTGAGAGTGAAACATTTGTTAAAAATTATCAATAAGTGTGGCAGAAGTATCTGTTGATATAAGCAAGGGCTTGTAGAGAACAGCCTGTAGACAGACAATTGGACGAAGGACAAAAACACTGAAAACAGACAAGAAAAAAGGTGACAAACAGTCACTGAACATCCAAAACAGAAGTAAAGAGTTGAAGACAGTGTAAATGAGCAGTAACATGAATAGCTACATTTGATGCTAAACTGCATGACCCTGTACCTGTGTACAGTATGTCATTTGGCTACATGGGCTAGATAATTGCCTTATTTCTGAAAGCAAATATTAAGTCAGCATTAGCCATGTTTAGATGTGACTTGATCTCCTGTTCAGCTTTTTTTTTTGCAAAGTGTATTTCGCTGTGAACCAGCCTCACACATTTTTATGCATCTCTCTTTTTTTCCTAAGTTAGGAAGAGGATAATGATTTGTCACAGTTAAGTCCTCCAAACACAATTCATGCTATGCACATACATGTACATGGCTGTTAAGCGCAATCTTGACTCTGGCACAAATTTATATGAAGTTATATTGTTTTGCTTGAAACCTTTCCATCTTAAAATGTACAGTCTACATTATGTCTCTGGCCTTTTAACTCAAATGTGTGAAAAAATTTTTAGTACTGCTATTTCAGTGGAATTGTTTTTTTTTCAGGTGTCAGTGATTTCTGCCCCCAGCTGTACCTTGTAAGGTTTTTGAACATTTCCAATACAATTTCCACACAGGATACGGCAAAAATGGGCTGGTTGGAGTCACTCAGCCAAGACGTGTAGCTGCCATCTCAGTGGCATCCAGGGTGGCAGAGGAAATGCAGTGCATCCTGGGGCATGAAGTGGGCTATCAGGTGCGTTTTGATGATCGCACCTCCAAAGGTGATTAATTTTTCTGGATTAAATTTCCGTAGTGTTTGAACTATGTACAAGTTATATATATAATTTTTATTCAATTTGTTTTAGAGATGTTACACATTATTTATTATTCCTAGCTCTTGGGCTTTTTCTCGCATGGAAGAAACCCCCAAAACTTGAAAATCCTCTGTTATAAAAGCCTGTGGCTCTTTCTTGGATTTTGGATCACAAGGCTTAGCAGTAATGCAAAACAGCGACAGTTACAACGGACATGGCTTAGTCTTCCAGGATGGGACTCTGAACATCAAAGTGGTAGATGACTGTATGCACACTTCATGTAAACACAGGACAGCCTGATCTTTTTATTTTAAGTACCTGAATGATACTATCTTTTCTTAAAATTGTCAATGTGATTGAAAGCTTATGTGATTGAACAGGAAATAGAAGAAAAAACCCTACTCCCAATACCACCATGACTCATGTCTGACAGTTGGAAAGTTTTTAAATCCACTTACCACCAGAAGCAAGTGTTGTTGCTGCACTGCTTTCTTCATTTTAAAGTCAACCTTAATCAAGCATAATCATACAGAATCTTGTCACCTTGGACACGTTTGTCATATTTCTGTTGGAACAGTTAACACTTGTGTTTTGCCAAGTAAGTATATTGGGATATCAGTTTGATCTGACAGATTTTTTACGGTGATCATATTAATTTCCAGACACGGCTATCAAGTACATGACTGATGGCTGCCTGCTCAGGGAATTTCTTGAAGACAAGGAGCTAAGTCGATACAGTGTCATTGTTCTGGATGAGGCTCATGAACGCAGCTTGGACACGGTATGAAACCAGGCTTTTCTTCACCTTGCTTTTGTATCATTCAAGTTTTATAATCTGTCTAACTCACAAAGATCATATCAAAGAAGGTTACTGATTCT